GTCATCGAAGGAAAAGATCCAGGAGTGTAGAGGATGATGAGGAGGGTCACCTGATCTGTCAGAGTGGAGACGTACTAAGTGCAAGATGTATAGAATATTTTTCAAAACTTATTAACCTTTCAGATAGAATAATTTCTTTTAGCGTAAGATGTGAGGGGGCTTTGGAAGTTTTTTTTTCTGTCTTTTGTTGGGGGGATATTGTTGTTCTTTTTTTCTGTAGAACTTTATATGTTTTTCTTTTTTTTTCCTTTTTTCTTTTTTTATTTTCTGAAATAGTAAATGATGTTAATGAACCTAGATGAATATCTGTAAATATGTCTTGCTGAGAGTTGTTCAGTAACATCTCTCAAACTGTATTTATGTTTTTATAGAAACAGTCTAGAATAATCTTCAATGATAGTACTTAACTGTTTTTGTTGTTGTTGTTTTGAATAATGGAATAACTTCACAACTTCTGTGACTGAGAGTTGTTTTCTTTTTAGATGAAATTGTTGCTACTTTGGGTGAAGGCGCTTTTGGAAAAGTGGTGGAATGCATCGATCACAAGGCGTAAGTCTGTTTCAGTTGATATTTGTATTTTTTCTTACTCATTTTATCCCAGTATACGTGCTTCAGGAAGTGATTTCAGATTGGTTGGATCAAATCAGTTCCTAATATGCTGATCTGTGTATTCCTTTAAATGTAGACGTAAAATAACAAAACTAGGAGTAGTGGGTTATGCATAATTGGCGTTAGTGTGGGAATAACAAATGTTTTATGGTGACAACTGGAGAATTAAATTACTCCATTTATTTGCCCAACTTCCATTTTTTGAGGAGGGGGAGGAAGTTTCCTACCTTTACCTTAAGGTGTATTTGAGTAGCCAGTAAGAGCTGGGACACTTGAGGCTATTGCTGTTCCCCAATGTATATGTAAAACCTCGTATTGTACTTAGAGTGTATAACCTGTGATGATGCAATACTGTTTGGGTTCTAGCAGTTGTTATATTAAAGGTTGGGAACATATTTTTCTGCAGTATAAGGGGTTTTGTATGCTTTAGGAATCAAATTGTCTTTTCTAGTCACTGCAGAATATGATTGACAGCTCAGTTAAATTAACTGCTCAGATCACTGAAGACAACTTGATGTTTCTGACTGACAGCTGCGTTGGGGTGCAAAGCATTAACTTCCCTCTCATATTAGCCCAATACACATAAATAAACAATTGGAGGCAGATCTTTTTTTTAGCCTTTAAAAGAAGTATTTAAAAGAGGTATTTATTCCCTTGTTTGTGGGAACCTGTGAAACTTGGGTACATTTAAGTCAGCACATATGTACTCTTAAAAATATCTTTTCTGCTAAATCATTTTCAGCAAAGATTGAATTTTATCAGTATTGAATTTTGTTATAAACAATGTTTATGGGGATAATTGCCGAATTGTCTTAGTTAAGTAACCATAAAAAACCTTATCGTTTTTCAGGGGAGGTAGACATGTAGCTGTGAAAATAGTAAAAAATGTCGATAGGTATTCTGAAGCAGCTCGTTCAGAAATTCAAGTACTGGAACATTTAAATGCATCGGATCCCAGCAGTACATAGTAAGTGCAAAGAAGATTGTACCTTGTTTTGGCTGCATTTTTATAACCCAAAACAGTGATATTGCAAGCTCAGAATTACTAATTAGTAACTTTTGAGTACTTTGCCTTCTAAATCAGCCAAGGCCACTTCTCTTTGGTGTCTCTGATAGTTGCAGAGCATCTGCAACTGCAGAGCATCTGCTGTTCACCTCTGGAAGCAGGGCTAATTTTTGCACATGCCTGTGCAGCTGTACACAAGTACCCCTCTCTAGCTCAGGGAGCTTTCACCAGGCCTCTTGCCCTGCTTGCTTCTTGGGGGAGCCGCGGTGCGTTGAGAGCTGTGAAGGGGACCTAGCTTCAGTCAGTGCAGTCATAGTATTGATTGGATACTTAATAAGGGAATTCTACCTTCACTATCATGTTCTTGTTGGATTTTTTTTTTAAAATGCTCCCCCCTCCAAAAAAAAAAAAAAAAAAAAAAAGAAAGAAAAAAGAAAAAAAAAAAGGTGAGTAATCAGCTCTACAGGGCCTCATTAGCTGAATTTACAGCCAGTCTCCTGAAGTGCCTCCAGGGGGAGGAGGGTGTCTGGTGCTGGTGCCTCAGTGGTACTTCTGTCCCTAATTTATGAGGTGAGGAAAAGTTACTGTGAGGCAGCTGTGCTGGCTGAGATGAACTCACCTGAACCAGGGACACCAGTCTCTTGCTGCTGGTTCTTTGTGAGCGCTGCTATTTTTGTTAGGCCAAGTTATTGATGCAGAAAAACTTCAGAGGAAAAAAAAAAAAAACCTCTAAAAGTCTCTAGTCTCTAAAGTCTCTTCCAGTCTCTTCAGCAGTCATATGTCTCTGTGCAGTGTTTGATGTGGTTTTCCCGTTTTTTTTTTTGCAGTCGTTGTGTTGAAATGTTAGAATGGTTTGAGCATCATGGACATGTCTGCATCGTCTTTGAGCTGTTGGGGCTCAGTACCTATGACTTCATTAAAGAAAACGGCTTTTTGCCGTTTCGCCTGGACCACATCAGGCAGATGGCCTATCAGATCTGCAAATCTGTGAACTGTAAGTCTGGGTCTTGCAGGTTTCACTGTTAAGTTTTCTTGGAATCATGTGTTAACTATACTTGTTATCTTGCAGTCTTGCATGTGAACAAGCTGACACACACAGATCTGAAACCTGAAAATATTTTATTTGTGAAATCTGATTATGTGGAAGAATATAATCCCAAACTAGTAAGTCTCCACTGTCTTCCCCTATCCACCTCTTAGCAGCCGCTTGGATTTATTTCATCATCTGCATTTGTGTGTTTCACTTTTCAGAAACGTGACGAGCGCACATTAAAAAATCCTGACATCAAAGTTGTGGACTTTGGGAGTGCAACGTACGATGATGAACATCACAGTACTTTGGTGTCTACAAGACATTACCGAGCACCTGAAGTTATTCTAGGTTAGTAGACTTGATTTTTGTCCAAGGGCTTTAGAAGTCATTTCTTTGATACCTTGGACTCAGCACTGGAGACATTTGGAAAATACACTGTGATCGAAAGAGACAAGCTAGCTCCATTAGCCTGAACACTTTGTGCTCTCCAAAGCTGACATGAGCTTTGTACAGTCTAACTTGAGCTCTTTCCTCCTTGTGTCTCTAACACTGAAGTGTGCTTGTGTCGTAGTGTGACTGCTGTCGAAATGGTTCTTAGTTCCATATAAACATGAACCGTCTCCATTTCCACAGCGCTGGGGTGGGCGCAGCCGTGCGACGTGTGGAGCATTGGCTGTATCCTCATCGAGTACTACCTTGGATTCACCGTATTTCCGGTAGGTAGCAGAGCTGCCACAGCACACGGGGAAAACTCCCGGGGGAGCAGGAATGGTGCGTGCTGGACATCACCTTGTACCTTCTGCAGCAGCCCGGGGCAGAGAACAGAAATAGCACAAATAAACTTTCCAGCAGTGATGTAGCAGCAGTGCTTTGTGAGCACTCACGGCTTTGTTACTACTTTAAATTTACAAGACTGCTGACACAGAGGTGGTCTCATCCACCACTACCATCCAAAAATGTATAGGTGTGAAAAGTGTCATGGTGACAGTAGGGTTGAAAGTTGGAATTTACTAACAAAGAACAAAGCCCAGTGACAAACATGGTATGAAGTAATTTTTTTTGAGGGAAGTAGAAGGCTGTGGGCACCTTTTTTTTTTTATATTATGGGCAATACTAATAAATTGTTTCAAATGAAGTATTAAATAGTCTTAATAAATATGAAATACTATTATTTGTAAGGTGAATGGTCAAAACTACATGGAGTTAATGTGGTTAATTTGTAAATTTTGCTTTAGACCCATGACAGCAAAGAACATCTGGCAATGATGGAGCGAATATTGGGACCTTTGCCAAATCACATGATACAAAAAACAAGGTAATTTTTTTTTTTTTTTCCCTTGAATCTAGATTGCCTAGCTTACAAATTAGAATAGTTTTCAGCTTTGGTTTAATATCAAATAAATGATTGAAAACAAGTTCAGTAAACTCAGATTCATCCCTGTGCTTTATTAAATTGGCCATTTTTGTGTAAAGTGGTTCTGTGTCAGTTCCCGGGGTTGTGTTAAATGTGCAGCTAAGAACCACGCATGCGAGCTTTGCTTCTAGGGCACATAATGAGCTGTGTGCTCTGTTCAAGGAAACGCAAATACTTCCGTCATGACCACCTGGATTGGGATGAACACAGCTCAGCAGGCAGATACGTGTCAAGGCGCTGTAAGCCACTGAAGGTAAGAGAGGGGAAACACCCTGCGGGGAGAAATGTGACACTAAATCACTCTGGAAGTGAAAGTAATGTGCTGTGGGTTTCTTTAAAAAGGAATTCATGACTTGCCAAGATTCTGACCATGAGAACCTCTTCGACCTCATTGAAAAGATGCTCGAGTACGACCCGACCAAGCGCATTACTCTGGAAGAGGCTCTGAAACATCCTTTCTTTTTCCCATTGAAGCAAGAAAACAAGTAAGCTCCATCTTAAAGCTGAACAAGGTGTTACGGACTGTGTCAGTCAACAACAGAAGCATAATAAAGTTTTAAAAGTTATTTATTGTGTAAAGGTAGCTTTATAAATACCTATTTTGTATTATGACCCTGTTTGAATACTTAAATTTATTGTTCCAGCTACTGAAATAAAACTTTCTATTTAAGCAAAAGATAATGATGTACCTGATACTGTTTTTAACTTAAACGGTAAGTGCGGACTGCCCGCTGAAGCAAGTCTTCCCTGACAAGTCCTGGTGGAGAAAGAGTGTTATTAGGGATGTATATTAAGTGAATGATGTAAACTTGAAAGGGCAAAATCATTAGACTGCCCCTTCAAGTCCCTCAATTGACAGAAGCTTTAACTTGAATGAAAGATAACCCAGAGCATTTTGAGTGTAAGGATGGCCTTTATTTGTTTAAAAAAAATTACAAAGGAAGATCACGGTAATATTGAATAGATTGCATTGTGATCACCAAGGTTCTTGCATTTTAGAAGTGCACTGGTCAAGAGTGTTTCTAGTAATGCTCATCGTTAGCTCGCAGCACTGTTGACCCAGACTTCCCTCAATCTGTCTTTAATCAGGAGCTGTCCTGAGAATTGCTAGTAAGAATTCAGACAAAATTTTGTTGAGTAGCTAATTACCAGCCTAACCGCCACCATAAAGTAATTGCCCGTGGCTGTAGCGTTTTGTCCCGCTTCCCTTGCGGTGGCCGCACAGCCACCGCCGGCAGGCGCTCTGGTCCTCACCGAGGGAGAGCAAGGGGAGCCGCCCAGGCGGGAGCTCCCGGTGCAGGTGAGGGCTGTCACACTGCAGGGCTGGTTGTACCTGCCCCAGCACGGGCAGCTGACATACCAGCACCCTGCAGCAGCCACCCCAGCTCTGCTGCAGCCCCCAGGAACATGGGCCCCAGCAGTGACGGCTCAGAGAGCCCCGCTCTTCATGCCCCACTGTGGGGCCACCCCCACGGCAGGTGCGGCACGGACGCAGCCGGGAATGCTGCACCGGGATTACTTCATGCTGGAAGCGTGGACAGAGATGACAGAGAGAGGCTAGGGAAGATGGACACCGCATTTATGAATGGGGTTACTTGGAGCAAGCAGAATGGGATTAAAGTGTCACACTAAGTTACCACAAAAGCCATGGCCTCTTCACTTTGGAGACTTAACAGTTTAATTTGCAAACAGAACTGCCATAAATCTCATTTACTGAAGCATGTCTACTACTCATATGGAGATAGAAAACCCAAGGGGGTAACATGGATTTCATTGTGGAAGGCCTTAAATTACATCATTACAGTAGAAAATACAGGAGGTAGAATAACTGAAAAGACTAATGTAGGTTAGGATCAACTCTATAGCTCCTGTAAGCTACTTAAAACATGGTTTTAAAAACTGAACCCAGTACTTCCGTGACTATAGAAAACAGTTAAAATAAATTTGCCATGAAAGCCCTTATATCATGCTTGATACAGGGAGGTAGGATGTAGGAATCAGAAGGACACGTGAGACATGACACTTATCTACAGCTCCTGTTTGCTTTACCGAAGACAATTACACAGGTCAGTCGCCCTCTTCAGCGTCGGACTCGGACTCTGCAAGAAACGGAGGTCACCAGAGGTCAGGAAGGCCCTGGGGTCACCAACTGCCCCAGGCTGCGCCCCAGCCCCAGCACGCCGGCTCCCTACCTTCCTCAGCATTCTTGAGCCATTCCACAAATTTTTTCATTTGCTCCAGAAAAACACTCTTGCCTTTTGCAAGATGGGCATCTTTATACCACTTGAGGATGGGTTCTTCGCTCAGAACTTCAGCTGATTGGGATGTGTAAAAGCAAGGTTAAGTCAGTCAATTGTTAATTAATCAAAGTTAATTAATTCTATCAACTGAATTGAATACCAGCTACTAAAACTACCCCTGCCTGGCAGCTTTTACTTCTCCCCAGCTATAGTTACAACATAATTTCAATTTAACAGCATATTTCTTGCGTATCTACAGATGCACAAGCATGTTTAGAGTAACAAGAAGTGTTTCACACATGGCCTGAACTGTCCCAACACCACAGCAGCCTGTGAACAAGCCTGATGTTGAGGCTTAAGAAAACCCACACGGAACAAGGTCACGCCGAGGGAGTTACCTTTGTAGAAGAGCACCACTATTTTCTGGAAGGCCTTCATGAAGTGGATGTTGTCGTAACAGTACTCCTGAATCTTCAGTAGAAGAGTCAGCTCTGACTGGCCTTGGGTAGTAAAGGCAGCAAGTAGAGGGCTGTATTGCTGTAACGGGAATGGCAACTTGGCACTCGCAGCCGCGCACACACACACCCCACTCTACCTCCCGCCCAGCTCCGCTGCCGCCACGGCTTGCGCCAGCCGCTGCCTTGGAGAGTTGCAGCCCACCCCCAGGGAAGCCGCTGCACGGGAGAGGCTCTGCAGCCTGGGAACACTGACGCGTTTGCCTCAGTGCAGCTCTAGTCCACGGACAGCTGCACAGTCTGCAGTGACTGTCGTACTAGAGCGCGGAGTTCGAGGCACTACAGCGCGCCACCAAGTCTGCTGTGCTGTGTGTGCCCACATGAGCTCCCGTATCCTGGAGCTCACAGGGACATGAGAAAGGCGCAAGGCCCAACCGTGCTTGGTTACGGTACCTTCAAGTGCTTGATGGCTTGCTCTGCTACCAGCTCCTCCTTTTTGTTCCATTCCACAGTGCTCATGACGCTTGACCAGATTATGGCTATGACGGTCTGTTCTGAGATGTTGTTCTTCTTCATCTCCTCCTTCACGTACAAGATTATCTGCCAGAGGAATAAAGGAGTCAGCACATAGCCATATCTGACAGTAACCCAAATTAAACTTTCATTCCCAACACTCATTATTAAAGACACAAGTCAAGCTAGATAGAAATAATGCTGCTCAAGTTGCACAGTACTCAGATTTCTCCAAATTTAAGGCAACCCAGAAGCCTTCAGAAACACAGACTCCTTGGCCAGGCAGCAGGATGCAGGACAGTAAGGAAAAACCTGTGAAGCTAACACCAACACACACTCATCCTTCTAATTCCTCGTGGGAGCTGTGGTGTTCACTATCTGGCTAGGCATAAATGCTATAAAAAAACAAGAAGTGCCAGCAGCTTTGCTACAAACTTACATCCTTAAATGGATCTCCCCGTGACATCTGCTCCTGAAGCTCCTTCTGCAGCTCCTTCCGAGCGCCTATGCTTTGCTGGTTCCGAACATACTCGGAAAGTTCTTTCAATCCTGCTTCAGTGAAGTACTTGGAGAAGTGTTCCACACTTTGCTTGTTGGCTGGGAAGAGTTCCTGAAAACAAGGTTTGCAGCAATTCTTTTACCACAGAAATGTGTGCTGAGCAAATTTACTTGTTGGTAAATTTACCCGACTGGCTTAAGAATCAAATGGGCAGTTTCCTCGCACTCACCATCAGCCTGTTATCCATGTTTACTTTACGGAGACTGACAGCCACTGCATTGATGTCCTTCTCATTTATCCACGACTTGAACAGCTTCACTGCAAAAGCTGCAGAGACACCTGTGCACCAACAGCAGTGTCATTACTGAAGTGCCACACATAGTGGGGTCACAAGGTCCAGTAACACTCGTTTGTCACCCACTCCCAGGATGGGGGCGTCTGCAGGCTGGTGTCCCCCAAGGCTTCTGTGCTGAACCCCATCTCCCTGCTGCAGTCTGGGAAGAGCCCAAGGACAGGCACCATCTTCTCCACCCAGGAAGGTCCCAACTGAAACTGCACGGGATCCTGCTCAGCATCACGGGCAACTGCAGCCCCAAGTGTCACGCAGACCTGCTCTTCTCCCAAGGTCCAAGCAAGCCCCCGTGGGTCGCTCACCCCACACCTATGCTTGCCCATTCAGGAAAAGGCTCTCGCCACACACAGTGGATGGGCAGCCTCATCACACCCGCCATCCACCTACCACCTCCACCATGGGTGGGTCTGTCTCCCATCACCCTTTCCCTAATGGGGAAGCTGGGCTGTAGTTACCTTCTTTAACCAAGTTCTCATTATAAAGACTGTTGAGAACTGATGCATTAAGTGTCCCATTGGCCAGCAGGATTCCCGTCAACATGGCCAGTTTGTTCCGCTCAGACTCTGAGAAACCTTTCAGGAACAGCAGCAGCTACAAGAGGAAGTGAAAACTGCCATAAAACAACCATCTTACACGGACATCAGCTACTCTCACTACCCTCTCCACACGAGATACTCGCTTTTGTTTCAGTCCAGCTACCCCAGCAGCACTGGTACACTGGCAGTCTCTTCCACTACCCACACAGAATAACTCTTCAATTGGGAAATTTTAAATGTTTTCTGCTCTGTTTGAATAATCCATTTAACACCCTATCTCTTCTAGATGCAGACTAACTGGTAGTTAGAGTTTGAAGGTTTTTATCAGCAGAGAGATAAGCCACCACATACCTTTTTGACTTCGTCTTCAAAGCCTTTCTCTAGGTACTTGTAGCGCCTGATGAGCTTGTTAAAAACCTAGAAAGAGATGGACTGCATTAAGTTTTGTTCTGAAGAACAGAAATCAAGTTTTAGCACTGTTGAATTTCAAATTTCTTTTAGCTTAGTGTACCACACCCAAAGCATCTTCAGGAGGCACCCTAAAGCCACACCGTAAATCAGTATTTTACCTCAACATCCAGCTACACAAACATTTCCTTTCTTGACCACTAAACAGAAGTTCCACTGTACGTGTCTCGGAACTAACCTGAGCAAATGCTTGCATGGTTTCCAGGTCTTCCTGTGCTGCAAATACACAGACATCTGTGCGCATCATGTCATCTGCCAGGGTACCACCTGGGGCTAAACAAGGGTTTGGGTGTTAGTGGCGTTATTCTCCAACAAGGAGAAGGGTTCATTTCCACAGAAAGAACCCCAGCATCCAAGCACACAACATAAGGACAAGATGGCCCTTCCTGACAAAAGGAAGGAGTGCCCACATCACAGCAGAGACATCTGCATCCTGCCTATTTCACAGCTGCTGGTGCTCTACATTCTCAATCAGTAGCTTAGATAGGAATATCTAAATGTTTTGACTCTCTGTGGCTCTGCCCCTAAAGAAACCCCCTAAAGCTTTATCCTAGCATTAGTCTTTCCTAATAATGTTTGGTCTGTAATGTTGCTGCATGTGGGCACAGACACACATATCCCAGAGAGAACCTTGAGGCAGACACTGCCTCTTCACCACCCGTCTTCCCTTTAATACAGGCATTTGATGGCTACCAAGGCCGCTCCATACTAGGGTGAATTCAGGTTACAAATTCCCGTACCTCAGGGCACTTCATTACTCATTTCTAGGCCATCTACACACAAGGGAGAGGGGTTTTTTTGTTGTTGTTTTTTTGTTTTTTCTTTTACATGCTAGGCAGAAACAGAACTTAAAGAGAGAGATGAACACTGGTGCTAGGGATATTAAGATTCGGTAAGGCAAAAGGACGCCAGGTTTTATTTTAGCCTTGTCCAGTCAAAGATCAAAGCTTGTCTACTTGTTACAGAGAGGGAGCTGAGCACAGGACTCCTGTGTCACCAACAGCAACATCTCAAAAGCTGCATCTCTGAGCATCTGATAGTTCAGCATTCTGAACTAACATCTGCATCGCGGTGCTCCCTTCCACCTTGCCTTTGGTCCTCAAAGACATATGCGTGCATTGGCTTAAAAAAACTAAATAATGGCTTAAACCTAAATAGGGAGATTGTTACATTTCTTATAGTAACAATTTCTACCTATGGTGCTGTGTGGCAGGCAGTTATCTTTACTCACACTGCCAGCAGCAGCAGAAGCACCTCTTATCGGGAAGAATGCAACAATATAAACACTGCCCCAATATGCAGCTTTTAGATCAACAGACACACTTAATGGAAGTGAACTGCTCTGAATGTCTTTTACCCATCGTTTGTTCCTGCAAATTGCCTGATGTTCCACAGTCGCAGTGTGGAGACCACCTGAATGTGCAGGGACATCTCCCAACCACCCACGCGCACCCGCTGCAGAACTGCCTCCCACCTGGCTGGACCCGTGATCAGAAACCTCGGCTCCTTTCCCTGAACATTTAGGGCACTTAAATTCTATTTCTGCTACCTAATAGAGAAAGAAAAAAAAAGCTTTCTGCAGCTGCTAAATTTCTCAATTAAGTTGTTATTCCACACACTCCAGCTCCCACCTACAGCACAACGAACAGGCTCTTCTGGTGTAGAGAGACCAGGCAGAGGCAGTGACCAGGACACTGTTTTAAAAGGGTGCCCTATTTGAAGCCCTTCTCATGCTAGTTAGCGAGGTAGGAAGCGTGAAGTCTAATAAGCTTAGAAGCACAACAACTGTCGTGCTACTTTCCAACCTCCTGTAGTTCCGTGCACTTCTCACCTGGCCGTCAAGATGTCCTCCACTCCCCTGACAGACACAGGAGCTTCCCGTCACCTCCTTTCACTTCCTCCCTCCCTGTCACCTGAGGGGGCCACTGACTTGGCCACCATCTCATTCCTCAGCCCAGGCTTCTGCCAGAGCCCATCCCCTCACTACCGCTAGGACCAACAACTCCTAATAGCACAGAGCAGACCCAAAGCACATCACGTTCTTCCAACAGCAACATGACTTGGTGAACAATAAATAAAGTTTCCAATATGTTTTTCGTTAAGCCAAGCTTGCACAAGTGGCTATGTTGAAGAACGCAGACCCACACGAGCAAAGGCGTGATGCAGAATATAGACTACTTCCATGTAATCTGGCTGCTTAGCTACTTGCTGCGCTCGATGACTTACACCCCACTCCACGTGTTCAGCAAGCTCCTTAGCTGTGTTTTTACAGCAGAACAAACTGATCTCTCGTAGTAAAGTCAACTGAGCGAGAGCAGCCCCGGCGCGGGCACCTACCCAGCATCCCCCCGGCCACCAGGATGTCGAAGAGTGTTTCTGCATAGCGGCGATAGTCGAGCTTCGCTCCAGAGGCATCGAGAAACTTGGCTACAGCTTCCAAGTCAGTGCCTGTTTCGCTTAAACCTTGGATGATACAGTCCTGGAACTGAGCAGGCTCAAACCTCTCTTTTTCATCTGTAAAATAAAGCATTTATTAAACTCAAGTTGTCACATGTCGTTGTTTGGAGGCAGGGGAGTGTTGATTAAAGTGAGATTGCTCTGGTTTACCACCCAAACTAGCATCACTCTTACAAATAAGAACTGAACAGTCCGCTATAGGAAATTCTTTGATCAGTGAGACGGTTATTTCTTCACCCAGGACAATGAGCTTCCCCTAAGTATAGGCTTCTCATGAACATTTCCAATTAATTATTTTTTCTCCTGCAGCCATTTCCCCAGCTAGGAAATCCCTGCTTTATCACATCAGCAAGGAGTTTTACTGCCTTATCTCCTCAGCGAGGGGAGAAGAGACTGCCATAAGCTAAAACATTCTTCGGCCACTATAAGAGAAGGCTTAGAGCTCTTGCACTTAGAAGGGCAACTGCTTGTGAGGACCCTTAGCCAGTCCTCAGAGAGCTGAGCTGGCTGCCACGTTCAGTCCTTAGGCCCTGCTCCCGTGGCACATCACAGACTTCCAAACTGGAGGTTTATCTACCTGCTGGATGCAGACTCCACATACGCACCCTGCAACTTTGCACATTACCCCAGGTCCATTTTAGCCACGTAGGCCTCTCTGTCGGAGATGAAATATCCTGACTGCAACATTATGTTTGAGCCAACGGTGTGTTGGCTACAAAGAGCACCCCCTCCTCCAGTGGGGGGGTCTCTAATGGCTTTCCTCAAGCACCTGCAGCAGATATTTATAGAGCTGCCTATAACACAGCCTGGCCAGCTCTATGAGCACCTGTAGGAGCCCTTTGCAGGAGGCACCACAGTGTCCTCATATCAACCCAAGTTTCAGCATGCGCATAACAGCTGGGCAGAAGCCTAGAAATTCTGAGTCAGTTATTTTCCAGGAAAGATCTACAGAGCCGATTGCGACCACACAGTTGTTTGGAAGCCAATCTACGGTTAAATACTTCCAAAACAGAAAGCAGACAACCCAAAACCCAAAGCACACACCCAATGAACCCACACCACCTCACACACCCGGATCTGCAGGACAGACTAGATCCAACTCTGGGTTCTACAATTTCCCAGGGTATTTTTACTTTGATGTCAAGATAGGTTACGTGGGACAAGGTGCACCCCTGCAGTAGTATATTAGCGCACAGTACACAAAGCATCCCTAACACCGTCTGTCCGGGAAGGAACAGTGCGAGCTTTTCAGCAGGGCAACGTCAAGTAAGTCATGACAACTGCCACCTCTCCTGTTTAAGGAAGCCCACTGAACTTCAGGGCATCTCTGTGGTTGTTCCTGTATCAGTGACGTGCAGATACAGCGAGGACACACACTCGCACAGCCCAAAGCAGTTTTATTGTAAAGAGCCGCTCGCTGGGCGCTGACATGACCGCGCAGGCCTCACCCAGCAGCTAACACCGAAAGCCCTGCACCTTTCGCTGCAGGAAAGCTCTGCAGCGCAGGGCCGCACGAGCCTGTGCTGCCCCCGCACCGGGCACTGCTGCTCTCACACTAACCACACTCGTACAGCTGCGCAAAGAGGGGTTCTGGGTTTAACACTGCCGCTATAAATACATATCTATCCCCCCAACCTCCTTTTATTTTCTGGGGGAGTGGGGGTACATGAACATTCGGCAGTGTCCATAGCCGGTGCAAACACTGTGTTCCGCACAGGCCGCTCTATAAGACTCGCGGAAAGCGCCCAGGGGCGGCAGCTCCTTTGCTCTCCCCAGGCCGCGCGTTTACCCGGCGCGGGCTCTTACCTCTCTTCCTGGTTTTGAAACGCTGTCCCGATAGCGTTGGCTTCTGCTGCTTTTGATTATTCATAAAAGACACCCTGGGGGGAAGCGCAGGACACGGGCACGCGCCTCAGG